ATGAATCATGTAATTTAAACATCAATCATCACATCAGATCTGTGTGGAATAATAAGATTGTAACATTTTTCAAATTTTTCACATTTTTAACACATAAACACATAAACTAAGATAAACATCAGGTTTCCACATGGTTTTTCATCATTTCAGCTTTGACTGCAACTCTGTTACTCAGCTCAGCTTCCTCTGCCGTGGTTAAATGGCAACATCTGGAGGCTTGGCTCCACCCATTGTTTACCAACTCCTAATATTCAGATGAAAGTGGTAGCTGGAACATTTTCTTTTCCCAATTTTTTATTTGTTCATTTGAATTTGAAATACATTTAGACTGGAAGCCTATCCACTGGTATTCTCAGCTCATGCTCAGAAATACTCTTCTAAAATGTTGAACTATAAATCCGGTAGCTCTTTACACCAATTTATCGTCAGCTTGGATCTATGCAGCGATGATAGGTGAAACAAATCAATAAATGTAATCTCCTTGAGCAGTTAAGTAATGTCCTACTGTCTGACAGCCTGCCAGGGAAACAAGTGATAAACTAAAATTAAAACCAAATATACAAAATGAATGAATTGCCTATAGCACAAGAGTATTTATATTTGCATGTGATATGCTGCTGAGACTTCCAGCCTCGGTCAAGGGGTTTTCAGATTGGTTTGCTCCTTGTGCTCCGCCTGACCACCTCAGTATGTCACTTTACCTGCTGCATAAGCATGCGCATGTTTGTCAGATCAGCTGGTTGAGGAGCTAATGGCACATTGATCCAATGTGTATAATGGGTCATGAGAGTTTGCACTTCCTCTGAACTGCTTCTTCAGCCTCAGCTCCTGAATCATCTCAGCAGTGACACTCTGCAGCCTCATCTATAAACTGTACTGAGATCTCTCATAACTTTCTGATTGTTTCCTCAACCAGCACACACACAGTCAGTTTATATTTTTGCATTTGATTGGTAATAATGTATTTATTATATTTTCTGTATAGTATTTTTTGTACAGTACATTTATTTAGGCCCACCATTACAAATATTGATTTTCTACTTTTTTCAAGTGGGCAAAGTCTTATTTCATTGTAAAGGTACACACAGCTCATTGATTCACTCAGCCCCTGCTAGCTCTCTCTCTCTCTCTCTCCTCTCTCCACACACACACATACACACAAACACACAAGCACACCATTCCACTAAGTGGAAGTGTTGTTAAACTTTAGATAGCTTAACTGACAGACATGAGATTTATATCATTTCCCTCATACAACCCTCATAAAGACAGCAAATAGGATAATTCGCTAAATGTTCATCTATTCCTTTAATAATTATACTTTAGAACAATATATTGAATTTCAAAAGGAAAAATCTATGTGTGTGAGAGCATAGGTTCAGAAAGAGTGGCAATTGATTTATGCATTGTTTATGTTTATTTGTCTTGGATTTCTGATTGTGCCACTGTGTTGCAGAAAATGGCCCTCAACTCTCAGTGGTGGCAGAACAGTCAAAGGTGGTGTCAAGGCGAGGAGGGAACGCTACTTTACCTTGCAAGATCCAAAGAGACCAGTCACTGCCACCCAACCGCAAGATGAGGATCAAATGGACCAAGCTGACCTCAGATTACCTGAAAGAGGTTAGTGGTTACCTTATTGGTGACAGATTGTTGAATATGTGTAATTTTATGTTTAAATACATTTCTCAAATTGTACCTGTATTCATGTATGTCACAAACTTTTAATACTGACAGTGGAGGTGTTTTTAATCATTTAACAGTGATGGTCAAAATGTAATTTGTTTACTCTTAGCAAGCGTTTTCTTGCTGACCAGGCAACAATGCAAAAATGCAGTACAAGCAAAACTGAAGATTTTCCACTGATCCACAGTTGAAATGTGAACAATGCACTAGAAGAACGTAAACAATGCAGGTCTCAAAAAAATGAAACATATTGTTTTGGCCTAAGTGGTACATTGTGGTAAAAACAATTAATGTAGAGCAGTTGTTTTAATTGCTGGTTAATATG